CAAGATGAGGTGTTACTATCATTAACGAAAAATGCTAGGATGGCCCTTATCATGAGCAGAAGTGGAAAGACCTTGAAAAGAAGGCAGTTTTTCAAAACTTCATGTAACGTCAACAAAAGGATTACTAGAAAAACCTAAATAATCAGGAGCAAATAATCGACCAGTTGGGACCCTCCAAAAAGTTTAGAATTTGAATTGATGGAGGAGGAGGATCCGGAGGGTGCAGATGCAAGAAACCTTCCATGTGTCTTATCAAGTTTGGGCACAGGGTGAGAGGCACCATGCATCGCCATGGGAGAATGAGCCCAAGCAGGCTGATCTAGGAAGCCATTAGATGAAGGCGCATTGGGCTTTGACTTTTTAAGCACCTCAACCCAACATTCAGAAGGCCCAACAAAATTTTCAGGATGGGGATGCAGCAGATTCGAGAAGCAGAATTACCTTCAACAATAATATCGATTAAAAAAATTGTTCCAACCCAAGATTAAGGTAGATCTGATTAGGGTCCTTAGCCTTGGAAGTTTAAAACCTAACTTGAACAAAAGGCAAGCCTGACCCACCACAGAATTGCAGTTAACATCACAATAATCCCCACAAATATTACCTCAGCTTTGGAGACTCCCAAGTTTCAAGCATATAGGTGAATAACCAGCAGTTGATTTTAGGAGTTAGAGAGGAGTGATCATTAGGTTTCCATTGGTCTAGAGAAAGAAAGTTACCTCTGACCCTCCAATGCTTCCAAAGAACAACTTTACGAACCTTATCAATGGAAGAAAGGTAAAAAGCAATCCTATTAGCTCCAAAAGCCCAAACAACATGAGTGTAGGGCAAGCTCCATGCCCTTTTGGCCTATCATTTAAGGCCCATAAATCTTTAGAAGGGGGAGAAAAAGTTTCAATAATAAGAAGATAAATAACCTTACCAGTTTCAGAAAGACAACATCTAGAGAGAGAGGTGGAGTAGAGATGGCCCTTGTCTAGAGGTGGTGGGTTGTGGTGGGAGGGGGGAGGGAAGCCATCATCCGAAACTCCACTCTCACTCTCTCTCTCATGTTACATGTAAAACCTAACATTATATCCCTCAAACAACTTGCTTTCACACAATCTTACAAAAGTCAAGCGGTCCGAGAATGGATGCCTCAAACCGGTTCCTATACTTCAAAACAATTTCTCTCTTACTTGTCTCTAATATGTTTTAAAATATTGAGTTCTAAGACTTAGATCTAGCTCATCTAAACATAGATCTTGCCATTACCAACCATTCAACCTGTGATTTCATATTATTTAAGTCTCATATAAGATCAACTCACTAAATCAAATGTCAGTATCCTTTTGAGGATCAAGATGCACTTTTATAATCTTATTCACAATGGACGACTCCAAGAAGCTATCTCCTTTTGTTTTATTTTATTATTTGATTTTTGTTCTTATTTGATTTGTTGTTTAATTTCCTTTTATCTCATCCCTTAATTGGGCTGGGGCGATAAAAAAAAGTACAAAATCGATACCATCCAATATTCCAAACCAGTGTTTTAAAAAAAATTGGCAAGTCATCCCGATTCATGTGTAAACCGTTGAAAACGACATTTTACAGGAAAGGCTATGTATACCATTATGCTGCTCCCTAGACTAAGGTATTGAAGAGGCTTTTAGTCCCTTCAAACTCCTTCTATTTTTTCAATGTGGGATTTGAACTTCTTGAAATGATAGATACAATATATGCTTTTATTGTAGGCTATAAAACACCAATTGATGCTGTGGTGCAGTTGGTTAGCCCATGCGACTTGCCCTTGAAAGGACCTAAGTTTGAACCTGGGTAGTGTAAAAAAAGTAATATAATAAGTATTTATTGTCAAAAAAAATAAAATAAAATGTATACAAAAATAAAATGTACCTTCACAGCACCATTTTTTTATTTTTCTTGTCAAAAAAAAAAAGGTAATACAACAACCAAAAAAAAAAAGGGTAATACAACATTTTCTTATTTTTTCTTGTAAAAAATAAATAAAAAGTAATAGAACAAGTATTTCTTGTCAAAAAAAAAAAGGTATTTCTTAATACAACAAGTATTTCTTGTTATTTTCTTATTTTTCTCATTGGAAAAATAAATAAATAATACAACAAGTATTTCTTGTAAAAAAAACAGAAGTTATTTCTTAATACAACAAGTATTTATTGTTATTTTCTTATTTTTCTCGTCAAAAAAAATAAAAAGTAATACAACAAGTATTTCTTGTCAAAAAAAAGAAGAAAAAGTAAAATAACAAGCATCATATTTTTCTTGTAAAAAAAAATAAAAGTAATACAACAAGTATTTATTGTAAAAAATAAAATAAAAGGTATTTCTTAATACAAAAAATATTTGTTTTTTATTTTCTTATTTTTCTTATAAATAAAATAAAATGGTAATACAACAAGTATTTATCGTTAAAATAATAATAAAAGGTAATACAACAAGTAACATATTTTTTTTTATCAAAAATGAAAGGTAATACAACGAGTAATTCTTGTCAAAATTAAATAAAAAGTAATACAATAAGTATCATGCATTTAAGCTATAATTATTATAAGGTTAAATTTGATATGTAAAGGTAATACAATATAGGCTTAGAGCGTGTTAGCTCTTTTTCTCTCTCATTTATGAATGTCTATAGTTAGATTTTTTTTTTTTTACCTAGGAATAAATGGTAAAATTATATTTTTTATTTTTGTAACATGGTGATCTTTAACATAAATTTAGGAATATTAATTTAAAGATATAGTTCTTATAATGAGGCCATTTGAAATCTCTCTCTCTCT